AACACATGAAGGTTCATTCTTTGTATTGTAAAGTCCTACGGTGTTTGATAAGTGTATAGTGTATCCACCATTACAGGGTCATATGGAGTAGTTTTACCAAACCTTCACCTACCCCTAACCCCAGCAATCATGGACCCGTTTACTATCTCTATAGTTTTGCCTTTTTCAGAATGTTATATAAATAGAATCCTGTAGTACATAGAATTCTATTTTCAGACTCGTTTCTTTCACTTAGCAATATACATTTAAGACTGATCTATGTCTCTGCATGGTTTGATATGTCATCACTTTTTTTGCTGAATAGTATTCCATTGTATGGCTATAATGAAGCATATTGATCCATTAATCTATTAAAGTACATCTTGGTTGCACACAGGTTTTGGTGATTGGAAATAAAGCTGCTTATGCCAGGCGTAGTAGTGCAGGCCTGTAACTCCAGCACTCAGGGGGCTCAGGCAGGAGGATTGTCACGAGTTCGAGGCCAGCCTGGGCTATATAGTGAGTTCAAGGCCAGCTGCTTATAAAGGTTCACATGTAGGATTTTCTTTTTTTTGGTACCGGGGATCGAACTTGGGTCCTTGCGCTTGCACAGAAGGCAGCGAAACCACTGAGCTAAATCCCCAGCCCCACATGTAGGATTTTCTGCATTCATAAGTTTTTGAATCAGTGGCCAAGTATCTAGGAGTCCAGTTGCTGGATTTTATGGTAAGACTTTGTTTAGCTTTGTAAGAAACTTCCAAACTCTCTTCCAAAGTGGCTGTGCCATTTCACACTATCACCAGCAGTAAGTGTCCTTGTTGCTTTACATCCTTTCTAGCAATTGGTAATGTCAGCTACCTGGATTTTAGCCATTGTTATAGTTGAAAATATAATTTTGCTTTCTTTTGTTTTTGGAGACAGGGTTTCATTATGTGGCCCAGGCTGGTCTTGAACTCACAATCCTGCCACAGCTTCCTGAATCCTAGGATTTCCATGACCAGCCTGGAAATACAATTTAAAAAAAAGGATCTTGACACATACACAATGCCATATTTCTCTATAGAAAGTATGTACTGAGTAACTTTTTGCTGTTGTTTGAGATGTGTTCTTGCTGTGTCACCCAGGTTGAATTAGAACTTAAAGACTTCCTTCCTCAGCCTCCTGAATAGCTGGGACTATAGGTATGAGACACCATGCCCAGTTGTTGTGTTTTTTTGAGACAGGGTCTCACTCTGTAGTTCAGGCTGGCCTTGAACTCACTGTGTAGCCCAGTCTGGCCTTGAACTCGCAGGAAGTCTCCTGCCTCAGCCTCCCGAGTGCTGGGTTACAGGCATGCACCACCACACGTGGTCTGGAAGAAATTTAAAGCTGTTATTTTAGTATTTGATATTCTGAATACTGTATTTCAGTATTTTAATTCTAGTATTTCTTTTATGAAATTTCTCTCTAATCTCCTTTGTAATTTCTCTATATTGAACAAGTCAGTCTTTTTACCCATCCTTACAATAAATTGAAGACTTTTAATTCTTTGTCATTTTTTCTATTATTCCATTTGGAATGCTTCACACATCTTTGTTTTCCTCAGTCAGTGCTCTAGTTCAAAATGTTTATAATCCCAAGTTCTTCCTAAAAAACTCACTCCATTTTGATTATCATTTAATCTTTTCAATACTTCTGTGAACGATTTTATTACCGTGCCTTGAATTTGTCTTTCAGTTGTTTCAGACTCGTACATTCCCTTCCTGCCTCTCCTTTCTTCTTTCCCCCTTCCTCCCTCCCTCCTTCCTTTTCTCTATCTCTTCTTTCCTTCTAGTTTTTCTTTCTGCTAGGGATGGAACTCAGAGCTTCACACATACTCAGCAAGTGCTCTACCACTGAGCCACATCACCAAGCTCCTGTTTTCTATTATTGCACATGCATTTTTGTTTTGTTTTGTTTTGTTTTTTGGAGACAGAGTCTGGCTATGTAATCCAGGCTGGCCTCAAACTCTTGTGATTCTCCTGCCTCAGCCTAAGTGCTGGGATTATAGGTGTGTGCCACCATGCCCAGCCTCCACATGCATTTTGTGTATGTAAATAAATATCAGTAAATAAATATATGCATCAGGATAAGTGGAAGGAAGTATATTCAGGGTTGTTTTTTTTTTGCTATTTTTATGTTTTCTCTAAAGAACTTAACACAAGAACCATGCATACTGCAAGAATTGAATAAAAATTGATTGAACAAATGAAAAATTTGCAAGTTATTTGAAATGATTTTAATATTTTTATGATACAAAAATGTTACTTTCATTGTAGAAACAAAAAAAGCTCAGAAAATATGCATATTCAAAAAGAAAAGGAATTTTAAAAAAGCTATGTGTAAGTCTACTACCCAAAGCTAATTACTATTAATATCATGGTTTTATGGCCTGGTGTGATAATGCACACTTGTAATCTCAGCACTTGGGAGGCTGATCCAGGAGGATCACTGTGAGTCTGAGGCCAGCCTGGGCGAGAGAGAGAGAGAGAGAGAGAGAGAGAGAGAGAGAGAGAGAGAGACAGAGACAGAGATAGAGAGAGAGACAGAGAGAGAAAGGGAGAGAGAGACAGAGAGAGAGAGAGAGGGAGTGAAAGAGGGAGAGAGATTTGTTTTGGGGCATGTATAATACTTGATTAAAAGTAATGACTATGTTCTGTGATGTGAAATGCCCCTGAGGTTATATATCTTTAAAAGTTATCTCTTTTCTTTTTGTTTTTAGGGATTGAACCCAATATCTTCACAATGAGCTACATTTCCAGCCTTCTAAATTACTTTAAAAAATTTTGACACAAGGTCTTGCTACATTGCTAAATTGCCCAGGCTAAGGGCCAGGGATTTAGCTCAGTGGTTCTGCCACCTGCCTCGCAAGCACAAGGTCCTGAGTTCGATCCCTGGGACCAAAAAAAAAAAGAAAAATTTCCCAGGCTAGATTTGAACTTGTGATCCTCTTGCTTCAGCCTCCTAGGGCACTGGGATTCCAGGTGTGTGTAAGTGTGACTGGTTTTTAAAATGTATCTCTGGTCAATTTAGTGACTTAGAGAGATCCTGTTTCAAAAATTTAAAAAATTATAAATATACAGGTCAGATGGATACACAAGCTTCTATAGAAACAACAGTCACCTGAAATAGAGATAGCATTTTCTTCTTCTTTTTTTTTGTACTGGGGATCGAACTCAGGACCTTGCCCTTGCGAGGCAGGCGGCCGCACCACTAAGCTAAATCCCTGGCCCTCTTTTCTTTTTTTGAGACAAGGTCTCACTATGTATTCCAGGCTGGCTTTGACATATTATGTAGCCCAGATTGGCCTTGAACTCACAGGAATTCTCCTGCCTCAGCCTCCCCAGTGCTGGGATTATAGGCATATGCCACCATGCCCAGGTTTTTTTTTTTCTTTTCACTTTTTGATACAGGGACTCACTATGTAGTTCAGGCTGGCCTTGAATTCACCATGAAGTCCAGGCTGGCCTCAAACTAGCAGTGATCCTCCTGCCTCAGCCTCCTGAGTTCTGGGATTATAGGCCTGCACCACCAAGGTTGGCCTCCAGAAAGATATTTAAAAGCCTTATTAATGATTTGCTTTGAGATGGGATCTGGGTAATTTATGGGGAACATAAAACAACTTCATTGTATGTTTTTCTATTCTATTTGGAATCTGAACCCTGTGACTGTATTATTATTTTGTTTTTTTTGAGACAGGGTCTTGCTATATAGTTTAGGCTGGACTTTATCTTGTGGGGATCCTCCTGCCTCAGTCACCCAAGTGCTGGAATTACAGGCATGAACCACCATGCCTGGTTGAACTTTGTGAATGTATTAACTATTACTTTCTTTCTTTCTTTCTTTTTTTTTTTTTTTGGTCCTGGGGATCAAACTTGGGACCTTGTGCTTGCAAGGCAGGCAGTGGAATCACTGAGCTAAATCCCCGGCCCACTATTACTTTCTTTAGTCTGAAATTACATGGTCTAATAAAAAGTAATATGGTTGTAGAAATCAGGAGACAAGCTTTAAATTAAATGTTTCCAATTGTTATAAATAGAGGAGGATAAAGGATCACAAATTTGAGCCTGGCCTGGGCAACTTAGTGACTTATGAGAGTTAGTCTCAAAAAAAAAAAAAAAAGAGAGAGAGAAAAGAAGATATATTTGGTGGTAGCTAGGAATAATGTCACCTGGAAAGGTAATTAATATATTTATAAAGGGCTGGGATTTAGCTTAGTGCTTCCGCCGCCTGCCTTGAAAGCACAAGGTCCCGAGTTCAATCCCTGGTACCAAAAAAAAAAAAAAAAGAAAGAAAAAAAAATATATATGAGGATATACTGGGTGGAGTATGATTACTTGATTTATTTATTTTATTGGTACATTTTAGGTATACAATATAATGACATTCATCAGTGCAAATTGCACCTTTACATAAGATTACTTGATTTATTAAGTTTCTTCACTTTTGAAGATACCATGGAATCAGTGCAATATAGTGGGAAGAGCATGGGCTTTGGGATCAGGCAGAATTAAATTCAAATCCCAGCCTTTCCATATGCTGGCCTTTTTTTTTTTTTGGTACCGAGGATCGAACTCTGGTCCTTGTACTTGCACAGCAGGAGGCGAAACCACTGAGCTAAATCCCCGGCCCATCCATGTACTGGCCTTACAATCTTTGGCAAGTTACTTAATCTTTTTGAAGTTTCATCTTCCTCATTTCTAAGATGGTTGAAATATGAATAGGATTATTATAAAGGTTTAATCATATAACATCCAGTATAACAAATTTTTATTTATTTTAATTTAATTTAAAATTTTTTGTTTTTTGGTACTGGGGATTGAACTCCGGTCCTTATGCTTGCACAGCAGGCGGCGAATGCTTCTGTTTTTTGGAGGAGCTCCAGTTTTCACTTTCACCTTTGACATCATCTCCTGGCTTCCAGCACAGACTCTTCAGTTTCTGGCTTCTGGTGTAAACTCTTCAGCCTTCCATTGCAGACACATCAGCCTCCTGATATGGACTCGAAAGGGACATTGCAGTGAGCTCCAGACCTTCGAGTAAGTCAATCTTGTAAATTCTTATATATTTGTATATCTTGTGTTATATCTGTTTCTCGAAGGGTGCAAATTTTTTTTTTTTTGGGTACCGGGGATCGAACTTGTGTCCTTGCGCTTGCACAGCAGGCAATGAAACCACTGAGCTAAATCCCCGGCCCTATATCTGTTTCTCTAGTAAACACTGACTGATACAGATTTTGGTACCAGGAGTGGCTCTAGAGAAACAGAATTGTAAAGATGAAATTCTTTAATACCTTTAGGGGTTCCTGCAGTCAGGGGTTCCTGCGCTCTAATTTGATGAGACCTAAAGACACCATGGTTTTTCCTAATTTTGTGAGGAATACTGATAGTCTGTGGTATGAACCATTTAAAGTAATATGCAATATAAATCCATTTGCTTATCCTAACTCACCACTTGTGAGATATAAGAAATTTAGTGACTCCATACATGAAAATTTTGAATATTTTTGGCAGAGTAGGAAATATAATGATGCTAGCTGGTTGGTCTTAGCATCTCTGGACAAACTAAGCTCAAAACATCCGTTGGAAATATAAAGTCTTCTGAATGTGACAAATTAAAGGAAAATAAGGAGCTCAAAGATTCAAATTCCCAGCTCCAGAGTGTGTCCTGAAAGAAAATCTCCTCTCTTTTAGCTACAGAGCCAAGACTGCAGAAACACAAACACAGGCCTTCATAATTCTATTGGCTGAACTACAACATAAGCTTAACGCTCAGGCTCCAAAGGTATGAAGCCCCAGGCTGTAGCTCAGTGGCATTTCACCTGCCTGGCCAGCCCAAGGTCCTGAGTTTGATTCCAGGTACCAGAAAACAAATAAACCTGGGCGTGGTGGTTGCATGTCTGTAATCCTAGCACTTGGGAGCTCAGGTAGGAGGATTGCCTTGAGTTCAAGGCCAGCCTGAAGAAAAGGTGAGACCATTGATCGGAAAGAATAGCATCCCATAAACTGGGATGGAAATGTTTGGGAGGATCCTGATGAAGCTGTTCTGTTTCTCTAGTAAACACTGACTGATACAACCAGGCTGGGCTTGAACTTCTTGCCATCTTCCTGCCTCAACCTCCCAGAGTACTAGGATTATAGATGTGTGCCACTGTACCCAGCTTCTAACAAATATATATATATTTTTATTTTATATTTTTTATAATAT